GATAGATGTATTTCAAACCAAAAACTAGTCTGTTGTAAATATGATATACTGCAGACAATATTTGGTAATTGTTGTCCTAAATAATAGAAATAACTAGATGTTCCAAGCAATGGTTCTTTTTGTTGTAAAACTATTTGATACAGCATGAAAAAGTATGATTTGTTGCACGTATCCAGGCTCTTAAGTAATAGAACGCTACACACCAAGAGCTTTCACACATGTTTGCCGCAGTTGCCTGTCCCTGTATTCACTAGTATATTTGGTTATGTTTATATATGTTTATACGTATTTCTTTGCATTGTCTTGTGTATTATAGACCAGTACATGGCCTTGTATTCTTATTTAAATGGAGACCAGGTGAGGAACCAACAGGTGCTGTGGTGCAGGACAGCAGACTAGAGCAGATTTTTTTTGCAAAGCAGGTAATAAGAGTCACATGGTATTATTTACTCTAATGCATTAGTATTTGATTGACACTCAGGTTGCTAATAATTTAAACATTTTATACTGTAAAATTAATTTTCGCTGAAAAGATGTTTTGGCTGGTGGTATGGAGTTTATTTTCACTGAATTTTAATGATTTAAATGTAAAATAGGAAAAAAATATTTTCGCCATATTTTGTTTTCGTTGAACGTCCTCTTCAGCACATATAGTGAAAATAAAGTATTTTACAGCTATGTTTTATTCATGAATGCACGGCTGTTGTGCATGTACATATAGTAAAAAATCTAGTTCTGGGGAAATTAAATCAAATTTTACAAAATAAATTAAATCTTTTTGTATTTTGTAGAAAAATATGTGTAACATTGTACCAATGAATGATTGTTATTAAGGGGGTTAAGGAACTGAACTATATTTTGTGTGAAATATCAGATGTTACTAGACAATTATGTGTGTATGTTTGTCACAATTTTGGCCATCTATTGTCCTGACAATAACTGGTTTTATTGAAATTTAATGAACAAATCATCTTTCACATTTATTTGGTAATTTGCAATTTTGTAATTTTCCTCAGACGGTTTAAAACTCGATACATGTGTACTGTCTATGTTATGGTTCTGTTCAAAGTTTATAAATAATTTAGGAACATTTATTATTAATTAGTTCCTGTTCGAACGAAGTTTGAAGACGGGGACTTATAATTCAGTCTTCGTCCGTCTGTCCATCCATGCGTCCGTCCGTCCGGAGTCATATTTCAGATCTCTGTCACCTATGTATCATTTCATGATATTTAGCATGTCATAATGGATACATGTACATGTTATATCAATTTGCAATTTGATCAAATGTGGCCAACTGGTGGCCATCACAATTTTGGCCATCCATTGTCCTGACAATAACTGGTTGTATTCAAGTTAATAAACAAATCATCTTCAACATTTATTTGTTAATTTGCAATTTTTAATTTTGTAATTTTCCTCAGACGGTTTAAAACTTGATACATGTTGTCTTATGTCATGGTTCTGTTCAATGTTTGTAAATAATCTAGGTACATGTATTATTAATTAGCTAATAATGTATATATTTATTTTGCATCAGTGTCATCACATGATTATATCTGGGTACTGTAAAAATACTTTATTTTAGCTGGAATTAATTTCCGCTGAAAAGACTTTTTGGGTGTTTTGTATGGAATTTATTTGCACTGATTTTTGGAAAGTTGAATGTAAAATATAGGAAAAATAGTATATTCCCTGGATTTTATTTTCACTGAATCACTCCTTCAGCGAAAATTAATTCCAATCGAAAATAAAGAATTTGACAGTACTTGCTAGTGTATAGTGCTAGTCTGGATCCAATTGGTTCATTTTGAATATTAATTTTGAATATTTTAATTTTCAATTCTTATCAATCTACACACCAAGATACTACAACACTGCATTGATACATCAAACCTTTCACATAAAACAACAGTGTGATATTTTATGAATTTCACTTATATTCAATGCATTTATTACTTACAGGTAATTAATAATGCCTGTGCCACTCAAGCCATTCTT